AAATCATCGACAAAAAAGTTTTGTTTAAAGTGTGCTCACAACACAAAATTTTTTTAGCATCGAACGCTCGCATTTCTTGAAGTTTTTTTCCGTTCGTTTGTCACAGCAAAGTACAGTGATTGAAATTGGTCAAAGCCAGTACGAAACGAGAGACCAATTTTCAACGGAAAAAAGTCGAAATCAAATTCAAATTTTGAAGCAACACGAACCAAAAGGTATGAATAATTAAAACTATTAAATTTGTCATAATTTTGTTGATATTCAAAGTGATATATGAATTTAATTGTGATCAATTTGTTGCAGTACTACGCAATAGTGCTAACAATACGTTCCAACAAAACAACGTACCGTTAACGGCTTTGTGCATGTGCAAACATGAAACTGGACATACAAAGCTAGTAGCCATTGCAAAGTGAGACACGCATCAGCCGCAGATATTGAACAACAATTGAAGTGATCGGACGCATATATTATTTTCTCTTCTTGATCTTTCGATACAATTTGATTTTAAAACATTTATTATTCGGTAAAAATCGAGAAAAAAGTTTTGTTTTAAGTGTACTGACAACAGAAATTTTTTTTTACCATCCAACGCTCACATTTTCTTGGGGTGTTTTTTCCGTTCGTTTGTCACAGCAAAGTACAGTGATTTTGCGTGTTTGCTTTTAAAATTGGCCAAAGCCCTTACCAAACGGGAGACCATATTTTAATTGCGCATGATTTAAACGTGAAAAAAAAACAAAATCGAATTCAAATCCTGTAACTATATAAAATGAAATATGTTTTTAAATTAAAAATTGAAAAGAGACAATGCGACCACGTAGAAAATCAGTAGTCATAGCACGAACACAAATTCGTGCATCATTAAGAGGTCTGGGATTGTCTCTCCGAGATGACAGCGATGATAGTGCATCAAACAGTTCATCAAAAATTTCGCAGAGTCGTTCGCCGAGTCATTCGCCAGCTGCAAAACGATCACGAATAGATGCCATCAGTAATGCACCAAGTGGTGTGGTTCCAACTCAAGCTCAAAGTCAAGCATCAGAATCAGGTACCATTATTATTTTTTAAAAATAAATTTGCTACTTTTTTCGATAAATTTCTTGAATACAATCGATTGCATTTGATACAGTGTTGTTGAGTACGAAATAAAAATGGATTTTTTCTTAATTTCCGCTCTCACAGTTAGTTCGACAATGAGACCAAATGAACAAACGAGACAACGTCGCCGAAAAGCAAATCGTACGGGATTTGATCGACCAACATCAAATGTGAATCAAGTGCCACTGAATGCACCAAATGCCAATCCACCACAGCCATCTACATCGACATCGGCAATGGCAGCCGCATCAACATCAGCAGCTACAACGACAACAACAAAAAAGCCATTGAAACGCCCAAATGAAATGAGAGCAAAACGAGGTGAAACAGAGAATAAAGACCTAGAACAATTCACCGTGGTAATGACACTGAATCAATTTTTGCGCGATGAAAAAGTTTTCCCAGACAAACAACGTCTGACTGATTTAATTGAAAGAGTTGTGGCCAATTCCTCAAGAATGTTCAAATTGGCATCGCTTTATGTGCTCTTCATATTGAATCGGTTGGTTGACAATGGTTCCGATGTCGAAATCCGTCGTGAATTTTTGGCCAAATTCAATGCAAACAAATATTTCAGAGCATTGAAAAAAACTCCACTCCATACGCCAGCATACATATTGGACAATGAATTTCGTGATTTTCTCATCGAAAACGACATCGAAACCAAATTGGATTTGGATAATGCCAACCAAGTATTGAAATTTGCGATCGAACAATACGACCGAAATGCGAAATTAATCGTGAAAACGCACATGAGACGATACATGAGGAGATATTTCAAAAATTTGGGTGCAACAAAACACCAGATAAATAAAATCATGAATTATCTATGTGACCGAAATTCAACGTGCCGTCCAAATGCCAATTTATTGAATCGCTATTTGGAAGAGTTGAAACCATTGGTGCCACCACAAGTGGTACAACCACAGCGACGGCGACGACAAACGCCACCACGGCGTGGGCCTCAAAGTGGACGAGGAAGGCGAAGAGGTCGGCAACAGCGGCAACAACGACAACGAGGGCGACGAGGACGGCAACAACAACCGTTACCAGTGCCACGCGGTTGGTTATTTGAGACGCACAGCAAATTTGACTGGTAAATTTAATACATATACATACTTTTATTTATTTTATTCACCACTAAACTAAATTTCAATTGATGTTAATCTCTTTCTTCATCATCATCATCATCAAATTTTCTATGACAGGTACAAGTACGTTTACGAATTGTTGAATTTACAACGTGTAATCCATGCGCACAATGCAACCAATCCGCATCGAAATTGGTCATCGTTTGTGGCGGTGCCACAATCAAGCAATGCCAAACATCATGCAAGATTCGATACAGATGGATTCGTACTGCTAACGAATCTCTTGTATGAAGCAGGGACTGGTCAAAAAATCCCAGTGCAGAGAGATCCGTGGACGCATGCCCAACACAATGCATTTTGGCGTCGATTTGTAAACTTGGACAAAATCAATAAGCCGAGTCAACAGTTTGACTTTTCATTCACCACCGATGGATGTTCAGCCCATTTGAAAATGATTCGGCGATCCAGAAACGTTAACACCAACACCAACAATAACAACAACAATGATGATGCAGTTCCGAATCCAGAACAACCAATCCGTGCCGCCAATCATTCAACGTGCTTACGATTCAGGACAAATTGAGAGAATTATCGGTTGTGATCCGGGCTACAGAGAATTTGTGGGGGTCGTACGCAAAGATTTAGCGACCGATAATGAAGAAAATTTTCTAAAATCATCGAAAGAGTGGCACCATATGACCGTGAAAATATGTATGTAAACTGCGTGAAAATATGTAAACTGCGTGAAAATCGTGAAATGTATGAGGAAATGCCATCGAAGAAAAGTGCCGACTACCGTACCTATCTGGATTACCAGCTGGATGTATTCAATGAATCATGCGAGGTATTTATTTATTTATTTTTTCGCTCTTTTGAGTTGATTTAATTTGATTTCATGTTATTGATGTGTGTGTGTCATTCATTCTTAATTTATATAGATAAAGTATCAAAAACGTGTGGCTCGTTTAAAGTTTGATGCATATACACGTACGCAGGTAGCATTGCATGTGTTGGTAAAGCAAATGACAAAAGTCGATCGTAGAATGTCGGATGCTGAGAAAACAGTGATATTGGCATTTGGAGGTGCAAAATTTGCATCAAACTCACCCATCAAAGGATATCTACGGTGTCCGCATCGTGCATTGCAACAAATGGCACGTGAATATGTATTCGTTTTGCCAATCAACGAACACAACACATCGCAGAAGTGTAGTCGATCAGGACGTAAGCTGAAGAAACGAAGAAGTGTACCAGAACGTCAATCAAAAGACCGGTAAGACCATTGCCAATGAATGACATTATTATTATTATTATTGATTGTATTTTCTTTTCTCCAGTTTTCTAGTTTGCCCCAACTGTAAACCGGTCGAAGATGGCGTTTTTCACGATCCAATTCAATGGACAGGCAGAGTTCATCGTACTTTCAAAAAGAAACATCAAGAATGGAAATACCGTTCCATATGTACATTCGATCGACCGGTTCCAGAAGCAAATCCAAATCCACCACCAAGACAAAAGAAAAAGAGATACCAGAAGCAGTTGGAACCGAAAACAACAGTTATATTCAATCGCGACATAAATGCAGCGAGAAATATGATTAAGAAAGGATTGTATATGTTGAATCATCTGCCGATGCCAAATTGTTTCCGACCATTCAGGCATCAACTCCATTATTACTTCAACAATTAAAATCAAAAATAAAAATTATAAGCACGGACGTCTACGCGAACATTCTCACAATGGGAATCTCATTGTTTGAAACAATGATACCAAGACGTAGTAGTGGACGATGCTAACAAGTACTAGAAATAGTAAGCATATTAATTTTTCTCTTTTTCACAGTGATCAACGATCTCAACACTACTACTGCTACAATGAACTCCCAAATTAAAGCAATGTTGTTGTTGTGGTCATTGATTTTATAAGTATTTACTTTACTTAACTATAAAGTATATACTTTCATCTATAGTTTCATTTTCCATTCCGATCCATTACGCATTGATTAATTTCCATTTTTTCCATTCTTTTCTTCTGATCAACTCTTAGGTACCAGCGATTCGTTCAAATTTATTGAATGAAAATACATCTACTGAAAATTATAATTGTACTTAAAACTTAATTTTGACATAAATAAACTGAATACAAATCGTCATTTTCAATAAAATAATTTTCTTTTTAAAGAGAAATAATTTATTTAAATATATAGAAAAATATTCAAATAGAGAATAATTCTAACACTTCAATTTTTTGACTAAATAAAATCCCAAGGAACAATTTGAGTGCCATTTCAGTCATTTTCAACGTTGCAATGAAAGAAAAAAGAGAAAAAAATCTGTTAGAAAGTTGACTATGAATCCTAATACGGCTCCTCCGTACTACCGTTGTACTGTTTCAAAACGTATAACAAGGCCACAAAATTGTCAAGATCAGCTATGTTATCGTTAAAATATTCGTTTTATTATATAATTTTTGGATTCAATGCTAATGCTTGTCAGTTGACATTGTTTTCATTCGGTGGTCTTCTCAATGAATCAGGCTAGTACGACCAACATCCGACAAAGTCCTGTGTAATTTGAAGCAAAAACATTAAACAATGAATAGATTCTGTTGTCAATTGATTCATACCTTTGAATATAATGCATTTTGCAACAACAATTATCTTTGAAGCAGCATCATCATCCTTTAATGGACGATTTTTGAAGGTAAATTTATCCTTTGATACTAAAGGACTATTCTGAAGTAATTCGTCCACATCCTGATAATGGCCATTACAAATTTGGTGTTTTATTATTGCACGTTCTTTTTCCAACCGTAAACACAATTATATCCGGAGTCCAGTGACAGAATCCGGTAGTTCAGCAATAGGTCTCGCTTTACAATCGTAGCACACTTTAAATCGATGCGTACGTGTTTTACTTCGAAACTATTCTTGGCAATTCGCACATGTTTTTAATGTTCCCATTCATCTTCTATTTTAACCACTGAATGGCCTAGTTTCTTGATGCTCACCCAAAATTTCCGCGATCCTGGACATCTTTTTCTTTTTCGTCTCTTCATTACAAATGCCCGATTTTATGGCATCTCCAATGTACTAAATATGCGATTTCCATGTTGAATTACGTGGTGATAGTGGGCGCAATGGATATCAAACCCTCCACTAATTTTTCGCCACTTTGTCTTTTCTTTTTGCATGTTTGGTATTGTGATGTTTTTTTTTTTTTTCAAAATTCAAAATGATGAGAATAATGAGTTTCGATTCAACCATACTTCAAAATATCTCAACTCAACAGCAGGTTCATCATCTGTTTTCTAGACGTTGGGACGCGTTATATATTCGGATTACAATTTGTCAGGTCGGTGAATCGATAATATCGATTCGATATGCTAACACTTTGGCATTTCTGATGTCGATACCATCGAATTATTGAGCATTGTTTTGATTGCTTCATTCAGCTTAAATCACACCATTGCTGCAAAGACACTTAGTTATTAGCGCCATCTAGTTCGTGCGAGAAAAAATCTTCACATTTCACACACGTACTATTGAGTTACTTCACTATGCAATACAGTGAGGGCGCCAGTGATACGTGTTTTGCAGCAACCCAGTGGCTTGAATAAAATTAAAAATGAGGCTAATGACGCAACTTCCGTCATTTTAACACTGCGCTCATTGGTGCATACTCGGGTTAAATAATTGTTTGCAGCTCACATTTTATTGCAACGAAATTCTCCTCTTCATTTTCATCATCGGCAATCGTCGTTGACAACGACTCGTTGTTATTTCTTAAGAAAATTTTCGTTTTCATTCTCGAAAAACTGATACAAATAAACGAAAATAAAAAATAGACAAAAATTTGAAAAAATGCACCAATAGCATAGATCACAAACACGATAATCAAATATTTTGCAGATCGAAATGTTGTTGGAATATTCACCGTAAATTTTATCAGCGCTCTGTTATTTCGAAATAAAAAAACAAAGACAGTCACAAAACCAACTGTGAATATGTCCATTTCACAGCTAATAGTGTTCCGAATACATCGTTCTTAAAATGACAATGAAAACAATTGATCGTCCAAACACTCACTTATGAATGGCTGAGAAAAATCATGACTCAAATAATATGCACATAGAAGATAGAAACTTGAATAATGCTATGCGGACAACGAATCGAAAAATTTGAACACGCAAGAGTGAAACAATTCAAAAATCCACATGTTCTTTTTTCAAGATTCTGTCTTCAATATTTTTTGAACAAGTTTCATTGTTGTGTGCTTCTTGATCGCATTATATTTTTTTACTGTTGTGTGCAATATACTCAGTCTCCGAGAGTTTCATATTAACTCTCCTTGTAATAGCCAAATAACGCCTATCGATTCACTCACGATTGGTATTCGCTTACTATTCAATAGGCATCACATAGCAACTTTATATGAAACTCTCCGAGACTCGGTATAGAGCACTCAAACAGTGAAAAAAGATCGTGATTTGGATGATATTGAATGCGATTTTTTTCATTCTGATTTCACCAGGTGATACGTAGGCGACTATTTAAGTTTCTTCAATATGTATGTTTTAGTATTGCCCGATGCAAACCATTGTCATATTCGTTAAGTTTAACATTTTGTAGCATAAACGTTCTCAGAACGTTTTGTCATTCGATCGTTATTTGTATTGTTTACCGTAACATGTAAATTGCGTCTCAGCCAAAAAATGAATTTTACTCGTGAAAATTTTCGAGCGATTATTTTTTTCCACTTTCGATTGGGTGTATCACAACAACAGTGTTTTGATCAACTTCATTTGGCCTTTGGCGATGAAGTACCAAGTCTTCGGACAATTTATAATTGGTACAACGAATTCAAGCGCGGTCGCCTATCGCTCATCGACGAGTTCCGCGAAGGTCGTCCAAAATCAGTTGTTGTACCAGAAAACATCGATGCTGTCAGAAATATGATAATGGAAGATCGTCATGTAACATATCACGAGATTGAGGCATCCCTGGGCATTAGTGCGACCAGCGTATTTAAGATTTTACATGAACATTTAGCTGTCAGAAAGATTTGCTCTCGTTGGATACCACATAATTTGACAATCGCTCAAAAAAAGGCTCGTGTCGATTGGTGTAAACAAATGCTCAAGAAATTCAATCGTGGTGTTTCAAAATCCGTGTATTTTATCGTCACTGGTGACGAATCATGGATCTACGCGTATGAGCCCGAAACTAAACAGCAGTCGACTGTATGGGTCTTTCAAAGTGAAGATAACCCAACAAAAGTTGTTCGAGCTCGAAGTGTTGCGAAGCAAATGGTCGCCTGTTTTTTCGCGATAAGTGGTCATGTGGCAACAGTTCCACTAGAGGCTCGTAAGACCGTCAATTCTGATTGGTACACCACCATTTGTTTGCCCGAAGTGTTTGATGAAATAAGAAAAAACAACCGCCGTCGCAAAATAATTCTTCATCATGATAATGCGAGCTCTCACACATCTCATCAAACAGTCGATTATTTGACCGGTCAAAAGATCGATTTAATGGGTCATCCGCCGTACAATCCTGATTTGGCACCCAACGATTTCATTTTATTCCCGAGCGTGAAGAATAAACTGCGTGGTCAACGATTTTCATCGCCCGAAGAAGCAGTTGATGCGTTCAAAACACACGTTTTGGAGATATCACTTTCGGAGTGGCATGAATGCTATGACAAATGGTTCGAGCGAATGCAAAAGTGTATTGATCATCATGGCGAATATTTTGAAAAACAATAAAACCATTTTCGATGAAACCCCATTGTCTTATATATGTTTTTGAAAAAACTTAAATAGTGACCCTCGTACAGAAAATTGAGTAGTATTTGTAAATCGAAGAAAAAAAATTTAATTATTTTTTTCATTTTTCGCGATTTTTTCACCATCTACATGGGAGGCTTGTATGAAAAACACGGAAGACCGCTGAAATGACACTGTCATACTTCCGTACATATTGTGCATTTGCCATTTCAGCGGTCTTCTGTGTTTTTCATACAAGCCTCCCATGTAAATGGTAAAAAATCGCGAAAAATGAAAAAAATTATTAAATTTTTTTTCTTCAATTCTCAAATACTACTTAACTTTCTGTATCACCTGGTGAAATCAGAATGAAAAAATCGCATTCAATATCATCCAAATCACGGTCTGAATTTTTTTCACTTTGGGAGTGCTCTATACCGAGTCTCCGAGAGTTTCATATAAACTTGCCATGTGATGCCTATTGAAAAGTAAGCGAATACCAATCGTGATTGAATCGATAGGCGTTATTTGGCTATTACAAGGAGAGTTAATATGAAACTCTCGGAGACTGAGTATATTGCACACAACAGTAAAAAAATATAATGCGATCAAGAAGCACACAACAATGAAACTTGTTCAAAAAATATTAAAGACAGAATCTTGAAAAAGGAACATGTGGATTTTTGAATTGTTTCACTCTTGCGTGTTCAAAATTTTCGATTCGTTGTCCGCATAGCATTATTCAAGTTTCTATCTTCTATGTGCATATTATTTGAGTCATGATTTTTCTCAGCCATTCATATATGATTTTCTACCATTATGTGTAATGAAAAAAATGAAGTATAAAAATGTTCTTCTACAAAATTTAAAATCAAATTACGCAAATCTCTTTTCAAATGTATTGTTGCTTATTCCACATTATGTTGTCAAAGGAAATATTATTGGAAGTAAAAGAAGTTGATCCATTCCATTGGAATTCATAAATTTTATTGGAAACTCAGCACAGATTCTCTGTTCCATTTGACACGAAAAGCGGTCAAAACATAAAATTTTTCAACGTTAAAATGTATTAAAAACGTTACATTTTTTGACTAGATAAAATTAACTCAAAACTCTTAAGCTACGTTAAATACTTAAATAATTGTAACGATTTATATGTTCCTCAATGTCATTCAGTGCATATAAATGTGATAGTTCTGTTCCAAGATTTTTCTTTTTTTTTAATATTTATTCATTTCACTGCATTTAATTACATTCACGTGACTCCTTAACTTCCATTCATTTTCATTTTCTATAAACGTAGACCAAAAATTTACCAGCTCCTGTGATCCATCCTGAAAATACAATTTCAAATAATAAAGAATATTTAGAAATGTTTTTAAATAAAAAATAAAGTAAATATAAAATGAAGTCTGAAACTAAGAAATCAAAATCAATTATAAGATAACATTTGATGGAAACACAAAACCAGACAAATTACCTGATCGAGATCGGTTATTAACACTGAATTTTCTTGATAATTTAGATCTGGTTGACATATGTTGCGTTCTCCATCATTATAACAAAATTGTACAATGTTACTTTGACTTGTATTTTCAATACGGATATCAGTTGAATTAAATATAATAAGTACAATTGTTTCTTTGATTATTCGCATTTGTGATGCGATCTTTTCGGGCAGAAGTTTATTGCTGCTTTTAACGACGTTTAAATTTGAATCGAGCGTATTCCATGAACGTTTTTTGCGCAGGGAATTATTAAATCGATTGAAATCGTTTAAATCTTTGTGATTATTCGAAAATACATTTCTATTTGCCGTGTAGAATGGTTTATCGGTTATGTTTGTGTTGTTTATTATACTCCATTCCCAAAATTTAATAACAAAACCATGAATGGATGACTTAGATTGATCATGGCTATTGTTGAATGAAAGACGCGCTGGAACCATTCCATACATTCGAGTTCCATTAAAATATTTCAAAATCTTTGGTTTACCTGAGGAGTCAAAAAGAAATAAAATTGAAATGGTTCTTAATGAAATGTATCCATAGATTAAACAATGAGCAACTGCAAGCAGAATTGTCAACAAATGAATTTCTTACCCTTTTGATCTTCATTATTCTCTAATATCATAACGGTTGTATTACCTGGAAAGAAAAGAATTGAATGGGTCAAAATAAAAGTCCGACTTGTACGCAGAGTCTATAAAAGTGGACCATGGAGTTTTTTTGTTGTAATACAACAACAATTCTATGTAAAAAAAAAACGCTGTGTTCCACTTTTATAGACTCTGCGTACAAATCGGACTTTCATTTTGACCCATTCAATTGAACTAATCAAAGTAACCAATAAAAAATGGAAACATTTAATGAAAATGTGGTCAAAAAAACAGGTGTATGGTCAAACTATAGTTTCTTACATTCCATGGATGGTTTCCAACCATCTTTCAATCACTCACACATACACATTCTCTCTCTGTATCTCACATGAATGCAGTCTACATACGTCATCGTCATTTGGAAATCTTATATTACATATCAATTGAATATAACGACAGGAGAGTATGTTTTTATTCAGCCATTATCCAGCCTAAACTCACTCTATCCTCTCCTATCGATATAATAAATAGATATTAAATTAATATGTGATTATGGAATGGTTTTATTACACAATTCTGGACAAACGCCATAATTTTCAACGATTAATTGTTTTTCATTGACGGAGTAAATATTTCGTTGCCGAAGTGTATCCTTTCGTTGTCCATAAAATTTATGCTGCTCGATTTCAATATTTTCTTCTGGTAAATCGATAGTTTTGTCAGTTGCTTGTTCGAATATCTCTTGAAGACGAATTGTTACACGAATATCAGTATCGTTGATGATGCAGTTAAAACTTATTTTAAATGTTGCGTTAATGTGAAATCGGTGAATAAATGAGCATTTTTGGACCACATAATTGCGACCAATTTGTTCGCCATTGGCACCACTGATAAGCTTTAGCACATTGAAAGTTTCATTCTTGTTTGATAATTGCTTTGTTGTACTAGAAATTAGCAGATCTTTTATACCTTATAGGTTAATCAGAAAGAAAAGAATGGAAATAAATGGAAATTAATCAATAAGTAATGGAACAGAATGGAAAATGAAATTATGAAAGAAAGTATATATATAAAGCAAATCAATGACACCATCATTGCTTTAATTTGAGATTTCGTTGATCTTTTATACCATCAAGATTTATGTCAGGCAATACCAAAGGAAAGTTCGGTTTCTTAGGTATATTCGTCTCAGAATTAATATGCCAAATCCGGAATCCTGATAAAAATAAACGAAAATAAAAAATAGACACAAATTTGAAAAAATGCCTCAACTATAGCATAGATCACAAACACCTTTATCACAAATTGAATGAAACAACAATAAAGAACCAATTAAAAAATATCACGTCTTACCTGATAGTGGATTAATACAGAAAACTTCACCAATCGAGTCAACAATTAAGCAATCAGTCTCTCCATTAGAATCTGCATCAAACAAGTTGCAATCAGCATCAATTGGTTCATTTTTCAATTCGTCATACCATGCAACTGTAAAATAAATTAAATTTAGTTAAAAGACTATTGCCATACAATTATTTGAACAGTTTTACCAGCTCCTGAACTGCCAACCAATGAAATGATACCGTTTTGTTTTGAAGATGTCCCACTGAGTGCGTTATCGTTTTTGAAAAAGCTTTTTTTGCGATACATGAAAACCAAGTTCTTGCTAGTTCTTCGAACTCCGTTCACCACATTGATAGCGCCTTTTAGTTCGATGCGTTCATAATTTCTTAACCAGTTATGTGTATAAATGCGTTCACTTTTGGCAGGGCATGAATTGCTATCTGTACACGGTAGCATCCATACAAATAACATTACAGTAAAAATGCACCCAAATATCGATAATATGAAAACAACTCTCCGAAGCATAGTCATCGGTTGCGACTTTTTTAGGTGTGTGTTTAAAATAGCGACATTATCGGCATCGGCTTCGGTTGCTAGATTGTGGTGGGTATTCGTCATATTTTTCAACTTGCAATCATTTATTTGTAAGCGAAATTCTTCTTCACTTTCGGAATCGGTCATATTTTGTGGTACAGGAGTGTACATTTCCTAAATAATAAATTAAGTATTTCCTAAAATAATAAATATAACATTGGAAGAAATCGTACAAACTTGTTTAAGTTCAATCAAAATTACCTTATATTCATTTGCAAACGTTCACAAAATTCAATATCATGCTTATATTGCAAACAATAATAAGCACTTTTTAATTTTTTTGATTAGTTAATTATAACATATTGCTTAAAATTTAGTTGACATATGAAATGTCAAATAGAATCTTTTGTAAAGTATAGGCGAATTCGCTCTGCGGCGAATTCATTCAACAGTTTGGAAAACATAAATTAAAATAAACGGAAAAAAACTACGGCTATCAAATAATTAAAAAATGACACGATTTAAAACACTGATGTTCTCAAACTGTTATTTGACCCGTTAAAAGATCACGATAAGTATGATTTGTAAACAATCGCAGTATGGAGATTTATTTCTTTGTTATTTCAATTATCAACAATGTGAGTTTAAACAAATACTGATGAGAACATTTTTTTGGTTCTATGAAAGATTGTTTATTAAATTATATACAAATACATATAATAGAGGATAAGGGAGGGTTCTGAATTTTACCAATCATATGAGAGCTATAGCTCTTGATCAGAGGTCCAGGGGGTTGGATTACTCCCTCCCACTGAAGAATTGATTGGCATAGATGATGACGGAATTTTTTTAAGGGGTGGTGATGGCAAAATTCCGCAAGGGGTCTGTAGGGGGGACGATGTCAACAGTTTGTAGGAAATGAGGACAAAATCGTTTTTTTTTTGCTCTTCACTTTTTTTGGCGAAAATCCATAGGAAATCAAAAGAATTTTCAAACTTCAAATTCTCTTGCAAATGAGAAAAATGACAAGAAAATCGTTTTTTTGCTCATTTCTAAAATTGTTGAGGATTTCTTAAACATATTTTAGAGGGTGGTAATCCGAACCCTAGGAACCCTCGTCATAACCTATGATTTATTGATGAAATTACTCCTTTACAAGTTGGAAGAAATTTTCGTTTGAATGAGATAAAAAGCTTTCGATTTCCTGGAGATTTTCGCCAAAAAAGTGAAGAGCAAAATAAACGGAAAAATCCTGGATTTTGGATAGAATGGTGTTAAGCAAAAAACTACCTTTTTACAAATACAATTTTGAACTTTTTTGAAATTAGCCCCCTTGGAACGCGACCCTCAGAAGCTATGCATCCAATTATAATTTTGTTGATAATAATCAGAGGACTCTTTGCAATAACAACTGACAGAGAATAAACAGAACGTGATAATACTTTGCGGCGACCACCATGAAATTCCTCTCCATGTGTGTTCAGTTTTAAATTTTATCTACGTCATTGTGCACACTGTACACGCACGAAATGTTTTGTCAATAGCTGACATGAATTGAAAAACATCGGAACTGATAATTTTCATTGCTGGGATGCGCCATTCAAAAAGCATTTGTAGGTTCGACATATCTCAAATATGAACAAATATAAATCATGTAATGGTGAATCTTATCAATGATTTATTTTTTCTTCCTAGTTTCTTTCCACTTTGCTGTTGTATACATTGGTATCAAATAACAAAAATATATTTGTTGAGAGTAGATGTTCTAACACATGTGCCTTCTTCAACACATTTTATGAAGAATACGGTCATCAATACAACAATACAATCGTCCCGGTTGCATTATAAATAAGCTGAGTGAGGTATATACGAATGCGCATTAGTATAAAATATTCCGTACTGACAAGACGATTAATTCGTTAGATTAATTATATTTCAAAATAGTTGATTAATTGGAAATAAAGAGAGGCAGATTATTTTGTTCATTTTGTTACCTGATTAATATTATATTGTATGTCAAAAATGAATAACATGAATTCAATCAAAGTTCCATCATCCAACGGTCACAATCACTCTAATGGAAACAATATGAAGTACAATCAATCACCAACGGGATCACCTTTCAAAAATAATTTCATCAAAAGCTATAATAACGGATCAAATGAAACTGAAGAATTGTAAGTTCACGAAATATTTTTTTCTTCTTTTTTGAGTAATATAACGAAAAAAAAAAACATATTTTCTGCTATTTTGGGTTTAACCGAACAAACTTCATTTTTTCAATCTTGCAAATTATCTAGCACGTTTGCATCACACGATTGTTGTATGGTGTGTGTTGTCCTTCATTTTGAAATATATGTATCTCATATATATGAGAATATATAAAAAATATTACATATAATCTTCATAAAAGTATTCCCCCATTTCGAAAATCTTTTTTAATGTGTTTTATTTTCCAATTAAAATGATTAATAGTACAATGAAATATCAATTAGAAATAGAATATACTGTGCTCAACATTGTTGTTGATTATTGTATTATCAATTAAGTTGCTTCCATTAATTTATTAATTTGACCAAACAGAAAAAAAAGTATGTTAGCTTCGAAGTCATGTAATAGATAAGGGAGCTCATGCGATCAATAAATATATTCATTTCATCGAGTTTGAACTAATTTAATTTATATTCTTTCTTCTTGTTATATAATTGATAATTTGGACGCATAATTAAAAAAATGAAACATAAATCCTTTTCCATGCAGTTTTCCAGTTTTTTAATTTTTAAGAAGTAAAGATCAAAATGGAATTTTATTTTGTTTCATATGCATTTGTTTGAAACTTAACTTTATTAAATTACCACGTCAACAGTCTTTAACATAGAGACAATATTCCTTTGTATGCAGTGGAATATTTTATAATTCTTAGCAGTCATCCAAATGTTTAAGTGAGAAAAAAACCTAAAAACATTCCATCAACTACCGGACTAATTTTAAATTTACTATTTGAACTGTAGAAAATTTTAGATCAAATTTCCCCTTGATTCAAATTCTTCGTTTTAATCATTATATAAATATTTGTAATAAATTATTATCTTTTTCAGTTATTCATATGACTTACTTAGTAGCATAGCAAATTATTTGCTGGATCGTACGAAATATCGACCGAAGATTGGTATTATTTGTGGTTCTGGGCTTGGTTCATTAGCTGAAAGCATTGAAAATGCTGATCAAATTCCATATCAAAGTATACCCAATTTTCCTGTATCAACTGTTGAAGGACACGCTGGCCAGCTTATTTTTGGTACCATAAATAATGTAGCAGTGATGTGTATGCAAGGTCGATTTCACTATTACGAAGGATATCCTTTGGCCAAATGTTGCATGCCAATTCGTGTGATGAAATTAGTTGGTGTGACACATTTGGTAATACTCTTAGATATGTTATGCTTTTAGTTTTATTTAATCTCATTTATGGACTTGAATGCTCTGATTTTGGTATTTGATTTTTTAATTTCTTTGTAGATCGCAACAAATGCTGCCGGTGGTTTAAATGAAAAATATAATGTTGGAGATATTGTAATTGTTAAAGATCACATTAATCTTATGGGTTTTGCTGGTAATAATCCATTGCAAGGACCAAATGAGTGAGTAAATTTATTATTTTGTGGAATTTTATGTTTACACTTTTGAATATAAATGATCATAATTCATTATGTTCTTTAAAATTACATGAAACATTTAGCACGAGGTTTGGACCGCGTTTTCCACCAATGGTTTGTTTTTCACCCCATTTGTTTTTATTTCAACATTTTCCAAATTCATATCTTCAATTTTCGTCCATTGAATTAAATATTTAGAACCGAGCTTACGATAGCAAGATGAAGCAACTAGCTATGAAAATTGCATGTGATCTTGATATCAAAAATCAAATACATGAAGGTGCGTATATTTAATAAATACTATTTATACTTTATATTATAGCGTAGATATGCGCTTTTCTGAAGTAATTTATCGCATAGTCTTTTCCATTTCATTTCCAATGATTTTATCGATTTGATTCCGTTTTGAACGATTCGAATTTTCTTTTGTTTACTACTTACCATTTCTTTTCATCAAACAAATGAGCGAATTAACTCAACATATCAGTGGTTTTTTTCGCGCTTATGTTCAATTGAATAAAACTTTCAAACATCTAGTACAAGTATGATTTGTTTTCAACATCTGCCATTTCGAAACCATTGAATATTTTTTGGTAAATATTTATTAATTTGTTCTTCATAAGTTATTGAAAATTAATGCCAAAAATGACTTTTTGTATGAAAAATACATAGGTGGTTCCAAACTTTTGCCGGGCACTGTATATCACACTCATTATATCGCTGAGCTTCATTTGAAAATTCCTCATCGAATTGATTTGACCAACTGAAATGAACTGTCGGAATATTATGTATGGCAGTAGTGGCAATGGATTCAAATTCCGAAACGTCGTTTTTTGTTTTGAAATCTCATTCTGCGGGATCATAATCATTATCAGGTCACTTGACGCAATAATTTCGTGATCAATCTTGGGAATCAACATTCTCCTAATCAATAATAAATAAATGTTCGCATCCAGGTCCTTAATAGTTATTTGTGAAATCAATTTGTCGGTTTGTTTTAAATGTATTTTTACTGCGGAACACTTCACATTGACGTGCAAATCTCAGCATTTTTTTGCTTTGTTTCCTTTGTTACAATGCTTCTGTAGAAAATATCAATGAATCGGGTTGTTTTGACTATTGATTGCCACCAACATTACGAATATAAAAAGTACTGCATTGAGACTGTGGGTTAACAGCCAAAAAAAGAAAATGCGTTTATATGATGTAATTGTGATTTCATTATTTGTCCATGAATTTGTTTGAGGTCGACTTGAAGATGTCGATGTTTTCTGGGCTGTTTTTTTATTTGGATTCGATATTTTTTCTTCTCGATTGTTCGCTTTTATATAAATAATAACTGCACAGTGGAGCATTTCTTCGCCTGGTGGCTTATTTAAATAAATAAATATAATATAAATATATAATTTTATTCATAAAAAGAAACAAAATAATGTGTGTGTTTTTAGGTGTCTATACGTGTTTGGGAGGACCAAATTATGAAACAGTAGCTGAGCTTCGTATGTTGAAAATTCTTGGTGTTGATTGTGTTGGCATGTCGACTGTGCACGAGGTATATATATATATATATATAATGAGAATGATTCGTAATCTATAACAAAATCTGGATAATGAACTGAATTGTTTCCTAATTTTCTTACGTCTTTTATTTCATTCATTGCAGGTAATAACAGCTAGACATTGCGATTTGAAAGCCTTTGCGTTTAGCATTATTACAAATAAATGCATTACAGAATATGAAAGTAAGTAGGAGGCATACTTACTTAAAAATTACTATTCCATTACTCTGCAATTCCTGATCCATTGCTTCGATTCTTTTTCCAACCTGTTCCATTACTTATTTATTAACTTCCATTTTTTCCATTCTTTTCTTCTGATCATACCTAGGTAAGGAGGAGCCTGGACACGAAGAGGTTGTTGAAGTCGGTAAGAACGAGTCTAGATGGACTTTATTTTCTATGAGACTCCTATTTTTTAAGACTCCCATTTTCATGAAAATCTGTTATATTTTGTTTAAACGAAATTCGAATATATCTAATATAACCAAATTAAATCTAAAAATAATTTTTGTCCACACATACAAAAAATCTGAAAAATCGAGATTTGGTAGTGGTAGTGGAGAAAATAACATAGAATTATTGTTGGACACACAACGCTGTTTGTTTGTTTTGTTTTTTGATCTAGGTCCTATAGTAATGTTCCATTTATTTTCTATATGATCGATAAAAACTACCAAACATCAAATTTAAGCGGTGCTATTTGCTCAAGCGATTATATAATTTCGTATATTTTTCTATTATTTAAAAAACCTATATTATTGTATTTTTTCTGTTCACTTTAGGTAAAAAACGGCAATTTATATTAACTGAACTGGTGCGTCGCCTAATTGCTCAAATTGATATCGAGTAAATACTTGTTAAAGATTATGAAATTCAAATTCACTTACTTTAATCTGATAAGTAACATTATGCCATTTCAAATAATGAATAATATTTGAAATAAGGTTTAAATAAAAAATAAAGTCTGAAAATAAATATTTTTCATATCGAATTTTAATGCCTCTTATTAATCAATGCACTAAAAATACCTACCGCTCTTCTTAGAATCATACAAAAAAATTTACTTTCTTACCTTACTTCCTTACCAACACTATCACCATTCGTATTTTAAAATATTTCGTTTTGTGGTTTCCTGTGGTATATATCCTGAATTTTGTAAAACAATTAAATTGTTTGAATATTCAATTCACGGTCTTATATTTGTTGTGTAAAACCGTTGTGTACACCGCTGTCGGAAAAACTATTTTTGTTTCTGTTGGAATTTCGATTGGTTTGTTTATTAAAAGATGATTTTCAATAAAATCCTTTTTTCCATCGCTTCTGTGCTATTTATAAGATTTCTGATAAAATGTTTCATAGCTAGTGGAAACAAAGTGAAGAAAGGGTGATTAGCGCATGGTTCTCAATAAAAATTGTGATCGGTTTGCATTGATATCAGCACATATTCCATGTCATAACCTCTTTTGAGCTCACTGATTTTTTTTTGTAAAGGGTAACATGGCAAACATTATGCTGAGTTTTCAAAATCCATCAGAATCGTGAAAAACCGAAACACACATTGTAAAATGCTTTACAATATTCTTGCTTTGGTGACGAATGATTTTAAATGAAGTTTTTGGTTCGTTTGCATCGAAGACTTGTAAAATTATATTCATGCAAGAGTGAAATGAACGCATTGTTATTGTGTTTATTGTGAATCCGTTCAATCACATGAATCGGTGATTATATATTTTGTTGAATTTTTAGAGGTCTGTTTTTTAAATACCAGGAACCTATAAATTCATCAAAAATAATATATTACTGAATCAACAAATTCTAGAGTATAAATATAAGAGAACTGCCAGAGCACTCAAATTGCACTGTAGAGTGTATCGATAATGTGAAATATTTCGAAATCAATGTTGCGCCTAACATTGAAGTTAAAAACCGTACCGTCACCTTGGAACGAAATTTCATCGAAAAATCTCAAAAATTTTGATTTTCAAATTATTTATTTCTGTACAAAATTTTATGAAAATCAAAGTTTCCATGATCTGGAATGAACAATAATTGTCTGAAAATAGTATGCGCAAAGGTTCTACGTCCTAACACAACGGTAACCCAACGGTAGCTCATGTCAAAAAATCATTTTCGATGCCCTATGGTGACCTCAGTGGAATACTGTGTGAATACTAAAAATGCATATATTTACCCATTTTCGAAGGATATTTTGGCGTGAAAAACTATTTTGCTCTAACGACCTGGACAGCAGAATAATTTTAAAGGCATTTAATGGAGTTAAACACCATTTTGTAATGAATTTTCCAAATTTTTCACGGAAAATTCAATTTTGTTACATGGTTATCACAATTTTAACTTCTTTTCAATTAAGACGCTTGTATAAGTACTTCGTACTGTTTATAAGGAATATTTCCTTTTAGGATGATAATGAGATTTAAGTGACACAATTATAACTTGTACGGCGAATATTGTAAGCGCTTTCAGGGTTTAGAGGTACACGATCCCCTTGCATTCAATATGTTAATGTTCAGTATTTTTCTACAAATTCTCTATTTGGTATCAACATGGGTACCAAACATGAGATTATGACATATAAATTTCAGACAATTATTGATCATCCTGGATCATATATCCTTTAATTTTCATAATTTTTTGTTTAGAAATAAATAATTTGAAACTCGGAATTTTTGAGAATTTTCAATGAAACGATGTGAAGGTACCAATTTTTGAGTTTGGATGAAATATTATTTTGCAATGTGTTGTTTGCGTTCTGTTCTGATGATTAAAGCATAAAAATAATCGATATTGGGAGTATAGTCAAGTTTTTCCTCAAACACAAAGATAAAAAATCGACCAGTTTTGGAACTTTTGGGAATTTTTGCATAGGTTATACCATTTGGCATAGGTTACTTATAAGTGCACCTTATTTTTAAAAAAATTGATAAACTCTATGCAGTGTTCACTTGAGGTTTTGACACCGTGCGTCAGTTACAAAAACACGAAGAAAGTATATGTATGTGTGTATGCGGTTCATGCTTTGCGTCTTATTCTTTATTCCCCTTTTCATTCGTTTGCATACATTTTGGCAAAGGCTGCTACGCTAAATAGCACGATACACAATGCAACAAGTGAACAGTGCAATTTGATTGCTTGGGTGTTCGGTATACTATCATTCGATCACGATGGCTGGAAAGAAACGGAAGCCTGCAGCATCGGCTTCTAAGCCAAAGCCAGTAAAGAGGAAAAAAATTCGTGAAATTCAAACGATAAAGAAAAGTGCAAAAAAAGTCTTGAAACGGAATCGACCAATGAAAACAGATAAAGTTCGTGATTTGATCAGCTTGAAATGACGCGATGTTTCATTTTGGGTGCACTCAGTGTTCATTACATGATTTTCACATTTTTTCAAGTGCGTTGTGATGGAAATCGATACGGTGAAATCGAAGATTACTTCAGTCAATTCGTTGATAAGAACTTCTTCGATGACTTTTTCCGAGGAACGCAAAATTTTGATAGCGACGATGAAGATGCCGTAATAAAGTCTGGATACAAGGTGTCCAGAATGATTTACCGTTTGTGTTCGACATATTTCGTGAGAGCTCCAAAAATTGAGAAAATATCAAATATATTCAACTACGCATCACAAATTTACTACACAAATTTCAAGAATAACGTTTGCTATCACGCATATTCTCGTCTTCGGAAGTTTTTTGAGCACCAAAATGTGACTAAGCAACAGATCAACGATACCATGGAATATCTATTCAAAAAGAAATCAGAGCGCGTACCAGATCCGTATCTAATTGAGATACTAAAAAATGAATTGCATCCAATTCGTTTCGGAGATGGTCGAGCATATTTTTGTACGATGACGACGGCAGGCAATTGGTTCAAATACGTACCAATATTTCTACATTTGCAACGGTAAACCGGTAATATTTTTATATTATTTCAAATCAATCGGTTGCACACAATCATTTTTGTTTCATTCGTTAAACAATGCAATTTCTATTGATTTCCTCGTTAATCGAACAATAGGTACATTCGTGATCACCAATGAAATAGAGAGGCGGCATTGCGACGAGGTGAAAGAACAGAGCTCCGTGATTACAGAAATTTCACCGTTTTTCCAGTTTCAACGTTTAAAAGACATCACATTCGCATAGATAAGCAAGGTCTTTATTACATGCTGAGAGAGATCGGATGCCCACACCCACGGCTCATTAGACGTGATGGAACACCAAAGCAGTGTAAGGAATTAAAAGCCGCTGATTGGGACGTGCTTTGGCGAACGTATTTTGACATTGGTGCCATCGAAAGAACACCGCAAAATGACAATCGTGCCACTTTAATATTCAAAAATTCAATTCAAACGGATGGAATGGCTATGTCATTTTGGATGGAACGCACAAAATTCGTCGTTGTCAAAGACGAAAATGAAATCATGCGGGAGACTCAAGAAAAGTTATTGAAAGCGCAACAAGTGTATGGTCTCGATCCAAGTCTTCAGCTGGTGATTGGCGGTGTTTGTGTGATCAATTACAATGATCCGAACAAGGAAAATCGCCGCGAAAAACTCGTTCAATTGACATCGGGTCAATATAATCACATGATCAGCTATCGCAAGCGAAATAAATGGCGCAAAAAGTTGACTTTCAACATCGACGAAAAAATGCGTATTCACCGAGAATATTTTGATGAGCAACCAGGTCCACATTCAGACAACATTGATAGATATGTCGATCATATTTTACGGCATTTCAATGAGAAGTTTGAAGCATACACGCAGTACGAATATGCACTTCAAGATGTTGTACAGTACATCGATACGAATACGACACTCGATAAGTTGGCAGACTGGTTTATCGATGGCAAAGAAACATTCGTATTTGTGGGTGAAAATTTCATTGCTGCCGACTCAGAAGCAAAAGGTTATTTATTTATTTATGATTGAAGTTATAACACCATTATATTGAGTTTGCCAAATACTATTTGTGATTTTATTTAAAAAATAGGTTATATTCGGTCGAAAGTACGCGATTTATTTGAGAAAATGAAGCGACGGCGCAACTGTACAGTGGTCAAAGTGGATGAATTTCGAACAACAAAGGTGTGCACAACTGGCATCAAAATTCCGACGCTACGAAGAAAAACGGATAATTGGTCATATTATCACATGGAATCGTGGTACAAACGCCGCTCGCAATATACTCTACAAAGGTTTGTGCATTTGATTGAATCGATTTCTCAATATGAACAATAAGTAATGAATTTGTTATTTGTTAAACAATTCAAACATAGGACGGTGTGCTGTAATAAATGAAGAACTACAACCCGTATTTCAAAGACCTACAGCACCCATTCAGGTAAAAAAATAATAATTTATCAAATTGTAATGAAAATTTCATTATGGAATATTCAAAATGCACACTAACTATGTTTACTTTCAGAATCGACAACAAATACAAGGAACATCGCGTTCTAACCAAGATCAAGCACGAAACTCTCGGCCCTAAGCCCTGGGTATTGTGCGGGATGTCATCGTGGTCTTATTATAGCTACTTTTAGTAAGTATTTAAATTTAATCCTACAGTGCTAATATTTAATCCTTTTGGATTATTTTGATGAAAAATCCCAAATGATTAATATTTAATCCCTTCTATTTTACAGAGTATCTTGAATCTTTTTATTTAATCGATGGAGAAAAATAAAGAAAATTAAATTACAAAAAAAAAACAATATTTATTAATTAAATCGATCGAATAATGAAAAACTCAAATAAATTAAAAGAAATCATAAAATATTTCACTTAAACATTTACGAATACATACATTGTTATAATACGATACAATATTGATTCATTTATAATATTAAGAATCCTCATTCAACAATTCATTCGGTAATAAGTGTACTATAGTATTAAAAGAATTTTATTTTATTTAAATTGTTTCTTACATCAATATTGTATATTGGCCACTTTTATTTTCGTTCGTTTCATTTATAAAGAATTAAATTCAATTGAACGACAGAATTCGTCTTTTGCTTCAGATGGAAGTTCTTCTTCAATATTTTAAGTTCGATTTATAAAGACAACATTATTAACAAATTTGAATTGTTTAAAAATGATTTTTACGCAAAAAAAGTGTTTGGACATATTTGATTTAATTATTAAATTATGAAAAGTTTAATAAAAATCTTGTACATGTATAAAACCATGTATACAAAACTTCTCTTCTACTTAAATGGTTCATTGTTCAATTCTTGTCCTTTTTTCTTAATTCTCATTTCATTGCTAATTCGTATCGTTCATTGAATTCAACACAGGGAATAATTAGATACCATATTTTGGAATGCAGCGAATTAGTAAATTAATTCAATTAAAATTTCAAATTAATGCAGACATTAATATGCGATGTTAAATATACGATCCTCAACATATTGTGGAGCAACAGGTTATGTTTTTTGTTCACTATTTTTCATTCGCAGGCCAATCAATAAATAACAATCTTATGATAAAAATTTGTATCACACTACTGTCTTCATGCAATTAAAGTAAATTCTTCTATATTTTCGTATTGTAAGAGGGTAATCATTTCAGACTATGTTTATATTTACTGCAATTCGATTTCACATTATATCTTAATAAACTCGCCCTAAGTTACAATTTTTGCTTCATTGTCACTTCATTGTTCGACGCATTTTCTTTGTTCCATTTCATTTGTTTCATGTTTAAAATGTAGTGTGGTTAATATTATAAATTTGTATATTCCAACCATTGTTAAAATAGCTGTACAATGTACATCCATCTATTTCTTTTTAGATGCAGTTTTTTCTGCTTTTTTTTCTGCCTTTCTTATCATTTTTTCACGTTCTTTTCTATCTTTTTCTTGCTGTCGCTTTTCTTTTTCAACAATGTGTTTTAGTTCTTTTAGCTTTCGCTTGAATTTTGTTTTATCATCTCCAGAAACGCCTAAAATTTTTAAATCACGAGAGTCTAGTTGTAGCAGTGCACCACCTTCAACACCATGGGTTAAGAACTTTGATGTGTGTTGTTCAAGTCCCAAGGCAAGTAACCTGAGAGAAACGAGAAAATCATAAAATAAACGTTCAGAATACGTTTTCATTAAAGCAGAATTTTAAAATGCTTAAACTTAGCCAATCAGTTCCAAATTTTAGATAAAAAAATAAATTCATTTGCGATTGTCGGCTATTGTAATGCAATGAACTATCGAGTGAACGTATCATTGCATAGACCAAACATAAAAATGAGAAATGAGTGTGTTAATAGAATTTGAAATTTGGCCGAATAATCCAATTAAAGTAGCTTTTCTATGGCTATACAATTAAATTAATTCACGTGTACATAATATTTAAATGTTGAAACAAAGCACCCGAGTAGTGTTATTAATGTGCTTTCCATTAGAGATGTCCGAACGAACACCAATTGAATCGTTGCGGCGAAACAGTAGCTACTCTTTCGTCGCAACGATTCAATTCTAGTTGGTGTTTTATTTCGCACCAAAATTATGCCCAACTAGCGCTCAGACGGAATTCAGAGTAATCTATACTAACAAGGATACATCACTATGGATGTATCCTTGTAAGTTGCCGCCAACTAGTGAAAAAACTTTTGCTCACTTGCAATCAACTGACTAGAAATCCATAGTTGTCCGTAGTGGCCACAGTGGCGTAGATGACAGTATCGTCGAACTTATCAAAAAATTGTGAGGTGACATCACCAAAATCTTACGGCTCTAGCGAATTCACGTACCAATACATAGGAGAAATCTGACTCCGGTTCTGTGTATCCGTATGTATTGCAAATTCTGCACTCAATTTTTGATTGTGATTGTGCAGAATACATACGTACACACAGAACCGGAGTCAGTTTGCTCCTATGTAATATGCGTTAGTTCACTCCATGTATTAGTGCGTTAGTTCACTAGAGCCGAGAGATTTTGATGATGTCGCTTTGTAAAATTTTCTGACAAAAAACATACAGACTTAAATACAATACTGTTCTCACCGATAGCAATGTTACAGTTTTGCATTCATACGGTTTCTTGTTGAACATAATTTCAGTGTGTTCTATTTCAAATCAAAGTTCGTACATCCCCTTGGGAATACTCTTTAGTTTTAAAATCATAATATAGAAAGCAGTTTACCATTGGCAAACTTGTTCCTTAGTCCACTCTTGTACCGGTCCATTTTGCCAGTGATGTGGATTTTTACGCTCACTAGAAAAGCTAGTACTTGAACCAGACAAATCTAGTGTTCGACTTGGTGAATATCCGGGTGAGGTTGAACCGCTGCTTGAAACACTAGATGGTGATGGTGGTCCTTGCTGATGTTGCCACGGCACTGTACCTACGAGAAAATCACAGATGAAAAAATCAAAGTAATAATAATTAATAACTAAAAATCCATTAACTTACCCGGAGGAGAAAGTGAGTTTGGAATTACATTTTTAACTAAACGAAATAGATAACAATAATATAATTATATATAACTAATCTCTTAAAAACTAATCTCCTACCTTTTGGCTGTGCTTCATTTACTGCTTGGCGGATTTCGACTAAAAGTGTTTGTGACATCGAAATCGCTTGGTTTTGCGTACGACTTAGTTCAGGAAAATCATCACTTGAATCACGAGATGATCCATCCCCAAGGCGGCGACTTAAATTTTAGAGTTCTATGTTTATAAAAACTTATTAATACTAATATAGTAATACTCACTGTTCGCGCTCGGTTAATACTTGATTAAGCTGATCAGTAAATGATGTTGGTGCAGCTTTACTTCCACGTTTTCTATTAGGGTACATCCAGTTATCTGTGTTTTGAACATCAGAGAGCTTATCATTCGAGCTCAAAATACTGTCGTAAGAGCTGCTTAATTCATTGTTATAAGATGATGAGCTTATAGGTGCGGTATCACTTGCATTTTTATAAATATTTGGTATTGTTGTATGTGGAACAAACTGACTATTGGGAATGGAATTTTGGTTATCACCCCCTTTATGTTCTTTGTGCACCTTTTTTTTGGCAAAAAAAGAATGAAAAAACATTTAATTAAAATCCAAATTTGGATAATGATAATGAAAACAATGAAAATAATACAAAGAATTTACCTGTGCATATAACGCATTTTCAAATCGTTTTTTGTCTCCATTATTGTTGTTATTGTCATTCACTAATAATAACGTGAATAATTTTTAAATGTTCCCATTATTATTACAAAATGATGAATTCTTTGGCAAAAATATATTACCTTTCGATTCGAGAAAGCTATGGCCGTTTTGTTTACTTCTAATATCAGTTGAACTCATAGCATCATTGATGCCTTCTTCTTCGCTTTCGTTCAATGCACAATCAGAACTACTGTTACTTAAGCTTTTTTTTCCTGATGGTAAGCGCTTTGCTAATCCACCGCGTGAGACTAAATCACTTTTCGATTTATTCACAGCAGTATCTAATATTTCTGAGACCCGTGGTACAGCTGCATCTAATTCATCTTTAAGAGGAACTTTTCGCTCGACCGTTGCTGTTTTGTCATCTTCACCATCTGGCGAAAAATCTGATATCTCAGTATCCGATAGTCCAGTTTCTAATTTTTGGAATCGTTTTGGTGGCTGCTTCCGGATCATTTGTGGTGTGAGTCGAAGACTTGTACTATCATATGGCAAGTATATAGGTAGTCCAGCTTTCCGTTGCGTTTCTTGAAGCTCTTGCTCTAAATGAATTACACGGTCCTTTAACTTTTTGACAAGAGCATTATATTCATTATCTTTTTCTTGTAATAATTGCAAATAGAATTCCTCTTGTTGAATCTATATAGGAAATAATGAAGCAATTATTAGATTTGGACCATAAATATTTTGTGTAATTATTACCATATCGACTTCTCTTTGTTGATATTCACGAACCAGACGTTTTGCTTTGTTATATTTTTGATCGAGTGTAGTGAATTGAGATTGAGATGCCTGCAACATATTTTGAAAATTGGCTGATTCTTTTTGCACTTGTGATAAATCCTTTTCAGCCTGCCGCAAGCGTTCAGTTAATAATTCATTCTCATTGCCCTTGACGAGCTATAATTAAATTATATTGAAATTATATTAGATCTTGGAGGTTTTTTTTATTTTTAATTGTAATTGCAAAAAAAGGAATCATTAAAGTCGTTTATTAGCATATACCTTAGCTAGTAAAATCTTTTTTTCTTCTTCACAATTCTTAGCGAATGTCTTTTGGCTCTACGATAAATCAGAATTTAAAATCAAAATAAAAAATCATAAACAATTTCGCGATTTTTTTTAATTGGAGAATTCAAATAAAATAAAAGTATAACGAAATTATATTATCTTATATTTACCGCTTTGTGCTGCAGCCGTAAAAAAAAATAAATAGAATTTAATTTTTTTTTTTTAGAAAACTAGTATTTAGACAGACACAGAAAAACTTCTTTCAAGACATACCTCCTGTAAAAGACGTTTCAAAGACTCCACTTCTTGAGAATGTTTTGCTTCAGCCTCCATCTCTGAATTTATAGGATTATCAATGATAAGTGGATTGAGTGGGCTAGTAGGTCCCTCGCATACACTCGAATTTGCCGAAGCTGGTTGAGTTGAATCTTCAGAATAATCGATTGTGCGTCGCAGATACTCCTCTTGTTGTCTAAAATGTACATAAAAAGTGATAGAACATTTTTTGAATATAAGCAAAAAATATTTTAAATAAACTAAATTATTTCGTTGAACAATGGGCAAGCACAGCAAAAATGTACAAAGTAAAATTAAAGATATTTGAGACAATTATTATTGAAAATCAATACGATATTAGCTCATATAATTTAACGCGATCAGAAAATATTAACCGTTTTTTCTCTGTGTAGAGAAACCGGTGTATGAAAACTTTTATGCGAGTGTTGTTTATCCACGCCATCATATATTAGTTCGCTCAATGTTTGACATACATTTGTTTGGTAAATTTAATTTCGTTCTGTAGCATCGATATGAATAAGAGAAAATAAACAACAACAATATCACGGCCACACAGAGCTGAACATCTGTGAGTGCTGATGCATACATACACATATACAATCTCTTCATTCTTTCATTCTACTGTTATACGTTTCTCACTGGCGAACAGCTCCATGTAGCTGTGTTATTATAGTTTTTTTTCTCTTTTTAGTTTCAATCCAGTGGATCTAAAATGAGTTAAACTATGGAAAGGGAGATGGTGCAGATCAGGTGTATTCGCATTTTAATTCTTCATTGCCTTGACCGGTTGCTGGAGAGCTACATACTGAAAGGCTTGAAGACAATACTGTTGCCCACCGTCGTTGAATAATATTTGGAAACTTCTCTAAACCTTTTGATTCGTTCTTCTTTATCTTTATCGGCTTGTAAGCTTTGTCGTATCAATTGTGCCACTTCAGAGTTCTCGGGATCACGTTCACGACCAATTTGGAAGATGACTAAACCAGATGTATTACGTAAAACTGATGCTGCATAAGCTGCAAATTCAGAATTAATACGTTAGTGTGACTTTTTTTTAAATTAAAATAACGTTAACGAGTCACCTTGTGTAACTCCAACCAAGCTTTTGCCATCGACTTCGATTATTTGGTCATTTACTTGGATACGACCATCACGTGCTGCTGCACCCTTTATTCGAAAATTAACCGAAAAGAGGATATGATATAGGCGTGAAATGTATAACATTCCGTCCTCGTTTGAAAAAGTACATAATACATACATTGTCCGTGATAGTTTTCACAAAAATGCCCAGCTTCTCAAGTCCAGCGTCTGCTCCAACACCCATACCTTGAAAAGTTGAAACATAACGAAAAATTATAAAACATGATATTGCGATTAAACGTTTTGCCAACTCAATATTTGATGTTAAAAAACTATCTTCTACATGTCCGAATCATGAATTAGGTTGTGCTTTTCTAATTATTCCAGCAAAGTGTACCCTGTACATTAGGGTGGAACATTTTCGACATAATATTGCGGCTACTTGCAAAAACATGTCTTATGGTCTCCAGATTCAAGATATGAAAGAATTTTCAACTTTCTATTTGATATAAGACAGCGACTTGAAAATTCAAGAGGACCATTTTACTGGAAAATCACACAGTAAGAAAATATCAGCCGACGATATACGCAAAACCGACTGGTACGTGCGCTCATACGTTTTTAAATCTTTTACATCTAGTGACCATACGATTTTTCGACTGATTTGTTACTCTTTGTGCGTATCTTCGCACAGTCGAATAATCGTATGGTAATAGATGTAAAAGATGTAAAAACGTATGAGCGCACGTACCAGTCGGTTTTGCGTATAGCGTCGGCTGATATTTTCTTTCTGTGCATAAAAAATTGCGGTAGCCTAATCATCGTAAAAACGCGTGCACAAAATTCTTGTTTTCTAGCTCAAATACAAAAACAATTAAAAACTTGCTGATATTATGTATTTTGGTAAGAAAATAAGATTTACAAATTTTCACAATAATTAGGCTACCGCAATTTTTTATGATTTTCCAGTGAAATGGTCGTTTTTTATTTTCAAGTCGCTGTCTTATATCAAATAGAAAGTTGAAAATTCTTTAATAATAATAATAATAATTGCAACGAACAGCGTTCCTTCGCGTTGGTGGTTTATTCAAAATAATACAAATAACATACATATGACGGCCTAAGAAGAAAACAATAACATACAGAATATTCTGCAAAAAGACGAATACAAATTTATGTGAGCAAAAACCAAATATACAAACAGACAGCGCAAAGGTAAAACAGCCTACTTACATAAGAAACACATGTAAGTAGGCTGTTTTACTTTTGCGCTGTCTGTTTGTATATTTGGTTTTTGCTCACATAAATTTGT